CCAACTCTTTCTTTATCTCTTACTACCACACAGAGACACACACACACAGACACACACACACACACACACACAGACACATACATACACATACATACACATACATACACACACACACACACACAGAGCAGCCCACATCACTAAACAAACACACAAACGCACAAGCTCTGCGGCCACATGACCGCCACGTCCCATCCTCATCCTCCGGCGGTTATCTCTCACGGCCCACCACAAACATACGCACAAACATGCATACATATGAACGCACACACAAACACACATACACACATACACGCATTGTATACCAGATGGTGCTTGGGTAACAAAACCGGGCGGCGGCAGGAAAAACTCGCAAGGACAGGGTGGTGCCATCGGCATCGGAGTAAGTGCATTAGTAGATCGCGCAGCTCTAGAACAGGCGCTCGGTGTGACGGAAGTTGCTGGGCATCTGAGCCGTTATGACTGGCAAGAGGATTCGATCAGGTGATGCTAATATGGGAGACCGGTACCGATTCTGATCGATATAACGCCCCTCCTCCACTGATGGGTTACTACGAATTGGCGGTCGCTCATTTCCGTTGGCATATACGGTTAGGTGCCCCTGGCCAGCGTCAGGCCCGAATCGATATGTAACAGATACAATACAGGCAAACAAACACACATACAGACATACAAACACCAGCGCACACACGTGTCACCCGCAGGGGGCTGTACGCGCTAACCGAGCCGGTGGAGCGAGGCCGTGGGCGGTTGGACATCAAACCGCTGGCGGACGGCGGAGGTGGCTTCCCTGGGGGGGGGAGGGAGGGGGAGGGGAGGGAGGGGAGGGAGGGGGGAAGGGCAGGGAGGGGGACGGGAGGGGGCGAGAGCTTCGGCCGGCGGTCCTTTTCGTTGGAGCAGCTGGGCAACAACCCCTGGCCAGCGTCGTCAGGCCCGGCAAGATATGCAATACACACATACACACACATACACACACGCGCGCCCGCAGCCGGACGTGTTTGCAACCGGTGTTCCCCTCCCTTTACATTACCTCCCGACCCCTTCCAATAGAGCGCACCCCCGCCTTCACCTTACCTCCCCCCCTTCCCTATGCATGCGGGTGGCTTATCCACACATGCCTTCCTGCCTGTCTGTCTGTCTGTCTGTCTGTCTGTCTATATGCATACATACGTACATACATACGTACATACAGATCTCAGCGGTGGCTACATACTCGAGTTGTCTAACGCCGCGGCCACCGAATGGTGGGTTTCGCAACTGGGAGAGGAGGTGCCTCCCTACATCACAAAGATCGGACCCACCCGGGTCGATTTTAAGTACCCAAAGGTGGGCGTTTTGGGTTGGGGAGGGAAAGAGGGAGAGAACGGCAGTGGCGAGTGGGAGTGGGATGATCCCAATCTTTTTTAGGCATGTTTGGCAGTTTGAAGGGAAGAGGCGGCGGAGTGGCGGTCCAAAGCTGAACCTAGTAACCTAGGACCTAGGAGAGTTTTTTTTTATTTCATCGAGGTGCTCCACCACACCAATCCGCTCTTCCGCACCACTCATGTGTGCGCAACACACAAACACACACACAAACACACACACAAACACACACACAAACACACACACAAACACACACACAAACACACACACAAACACACACACAAACACACACACAAACACACACACAAACACACACACACAAACACACACACAAACACACACACAAACACACACACACACCTACGCACCTACACACACACACACACACACACGCGCGCGCGCAGGCTTCGCGGGCACCCTCCCCGGCTTGGTCGTACGTCTCGTCCCGTATGTCGGACCTCACCGCCGCCCTGAACTCCGCGCCGTCGTACCCGTCGTCGGACTACCTGTCGTACATGATCGATGTACGGTCCCTCGTGGACTTCTTTCTGCTCACCGAGCTCAGCTGCGACTACGACGGTTTCGTGTCCAGCGTGTTTTTGCACAAGGTGCGAGCAAAGGGGCGAGCAAGACGAAGAGGACGTGCTTGTGTGCGTGCGTGCGTGCGCGCGCGTGTGTGTGTGTGTGTGTGTGTGTGTGTGTGTGTGTGTGTGTGTGTGTGTGTGTGTGTGTGTGTGTGTGTGTGTGTGTGTGTGTGTGTGTGTGTGTGTGAGTGTGTGTGTGTGTGTGTGTGTGTGTGTGAGAGTGTGTGTGTGAGAGAGAGAGAGAGAACGTTACAAGTATCTGACCGGGCCTGACACTATGTGTGTATAACTTGTAATCTAACTCCCCTCTCCCCCCTTCTTCCCCCCTCCCCCCCCCCGACCGCCGTACGGGACCCAATTAGGACGTGGGGGGACCTCTGGTAGCCGGACCGGTGTGGGATAAAAACCTGGCGTACGGCAATGAAGTTGAGGTGACATCACCTTCGGGCTGCGGCTGGCGTTACGCGGCGGCTGCCGTACAGAACAGCGGTCAGGTGGCTGTGTGGATGGGCTCCCTTGCTCGCGCTGGGTGGTGGCGGCACGAGGTGGCTCAGCGCTGGCGCCACCTTCGAGGCAAAGAGAGTGAGCGATGCCATTCCCATCATGGGCCTTTGAGCGGTTGTACCTATCACCGGTATGACCAAGCGACGTGCGCGCGCGTGTGTATGTATGTGCGTGTGTAAGAATTTATTGAATTGTTACAGGGTGCAAGGCTTCTGGGCCATTAGAACACATTGTCATTTCTACGATTTATCATACTATACAGCACCATCCACCATTACCACACTGTACTACACTGCCATACGAACTGGAAGTCCAAGGCGATTGATCCTGCCTTCTAGGATCCCTCCTCCTCATCCATCCACCCGAACATCCGCAGAGATAGAGGGTTCAGCAATCGCCACCAATCTAGCGTGGTGCGAATCTCGATCCATCAAGAATATATATGTGTTTCGTGTGTGTTTGCACGTGAATGAGGCCCACATGTGAATGAGGCCCGCACTTCTCCCGACCCGCCCGCCAGGCTCCAGGCCTTACACCCTCCTTATTATACCCCTGACCCCGCCAGTCCAACCCTCTTCCCGTAACGCTCATTACGACATCTCTTTCCCTGCCCCCCGTATTGTTAAAGGTGAAATGGATCGGATGCAATAGAGATGCAATAGCCAGCGCTTCACAAACTTTCCTTAACACCCCGTCCTTCCTCTGTCCCGACCCCAAACCCCAAAGGACCAATCCCTGCTTGCCTCCCATCTCTCCCCCGCAGGCGGCAACAGCCACAGCAACAGTAGCAGCAGCGGTGTTGGGGGTGGTCGTTGGTCTGACAACGCACTTCGCGAAATGGTGAACCGCATCGTGGCCCGCATCCCCTCAGATGTCGCCCGCCGCAACTTCGACCGGTGGCCGATCTGGCTGATCGCCCCCAACCAGCGCTTCGTGACACTGCCCCCCACGAAGGGCTCCTGGGAGGCAGAGGTGAGGGGCGTTTTCATCACATCTGCGTCCGACGGGGTGTTTACATGCGTGTTTAATTACCTGTCTACATGTGCGTGTTCGTGTATCTGTTCTTGTTGCTACTGCCCTTTCTGCTGCTGCTGCTACTGCTACTGCTCTTGCTGCTACTGCTGCTGCCGTTGCTGCTACTGCTATTGCTACTGCTGCTATTGCCGTACTTATTACTTACTTTATGCTAAACATACGGTGGCTCAGGTGGAGGCGCTCCACTCCTGGTTGCTGTCCCGAGCGGGCTGGCTGGACGGGAAGCTGCTACGGAGCGGCGGGGCGGGGGAGCCCGACCTGGCCATCCCGCCCCGCCCCAACCTGCTGGGCGGGGTCGTGGGGGCGGTGCTGGACGGGCGACCAGTGGCCAGAGCCTTTCAGGAGGGGTTTGGAGTGATGGGCCGGTGACGAAGATGCATGATGATGTGAGGATAAAGCTGAGGATATCTCACAGTCATCACAGTAATTTTACTTCGGTTCATTTTTTGATGCGTTACATGCATTGTATATCGCCTCCTAATCAGGCATCAGTGGAGGAGATCATATAAGCTTTAGTGCGTGGGGAGAAGGGATGATATGGTGTGGTGTGGAAGAATGTACGACGTGTGTCTGTATGGAGAGCCGTATGCATGATGTCGGAACTGGGAGTTGATGGTGTGTTGGGGCGGGGGTGCGAGTAGTGGGGGTGGGGGACCATGTCGCACTGTGTGTGGCCTTTCGTGCCTTACTCCACCTGAGAAGGGAAGAGGGCGGGGGAGGGGAGGAGAGGGGAGGGAAGGGGAGGAGAGGGGAGGAGAGGGGAGGAGAGGGGAGGAGAGGGGAGGAGAGGGAAGGAGAGGGGAGGAGAGGGGAGGAGAGGGGAGGAGAAGGTGAGGGAGGTGAGGAGAGGAGGGGGGAGGAGCCGCAATGTTGGAGCAATGACGGAGCGGTCCCAAGGCCCCAGCGGGGCGACAAGGGCCCCAGCGGTGCCGGGAACTGAAAGGAGAGACCTCGCTTGTACGTTGTGTACGTATTTGCGTTCACATACGTAACCTATCCATACGGATACCCGTTTATGGACGGTGCCCCAAAGATTTGCTGCACCCTTTCAAGAGCTTTGAATGGGCAGCTAGGGCAGCTAGGGAGGGGTACATGTAGGTGTCTAGCTGCCTGCCGGCGCGTTGCTGCTGCTGCTGCTACTGCGGCGGCGGCGGAATGGGGGGCACACGTGTCTGACTTCCTGCGTGATGCTGCTGCTGCTGGTGCCCAAAGGGTGCATCATGATCACCGATCCGACCCGCACTGACGCGCATCCAATACAGCTGTCGAACTGACTTTTAAGACATCATTCGTCATTATGGGACCTAAACACGTCATCTAAATGCCCCCTTGGGTTCATTCCGTCACCGTTACTACCGTTCCGTTCAATATTTTACTTTGGTCAGGAGGTCAAAGGCAGCCTAAGGAAGATCGAACGAAACCTAGACGTCTGATCCGGGCTGATTTAACCCCGTCCACCTTCCCCCCTATATATATTTAACCCCGTCCACCTTCCCCCCTATATATTTAACCCCCTTTCCTGTCCTCGCCATTACAGCCTTACAGCCATTACGAGCGTCGCGCGGTAAAATACCCCCTTACACCCTCCGCGCGATGCTCCAATCCTCTGAGCTAACCCCCCAGCACTCAGACTGCTGTACACCATCACCTACTTAATTACAGACATACACACACATGCACGCAGCTGCTCCCAGTCAGAAACATCGGCACCATCGGCACCGATGGACCCTTTCCGTCCGTAAATAATTTATTTACCGTCCAAAGGAGGAGTGGATGTACAGGATGTAGTAGTACGGCACTGTGGTATTCCACCCAAGCAGCCAAACCAACTCATACCCCGCGAATCCCCCGACACACCACCATCACCACCAGATGCTGCTGCTACTGCTGCAGCTACTGCAGCTGCTCCTACTGCTGCTGCTCCTACTGCTGATGATGATGGTGATGATAATAATGATGACGCCTTAACGCAGGAAATGGTCTCATAGCTTGAAACCCGAGTGTACGGCAACCACCCCGCTGGTGAGGTTCTCGTACGTCACCGCTCTGAAACCCGCATCCTCCACCATCCGAGCAAACGTCTCCTGGGGCCGGCAGGGGGGTTGTCTGGAGTGGGTGCGTGTGGAAAATCATATATATAATATATTATATATGCCAAGCCAAGGAATGTAACACGCAACACATATAATATTTATGCATACATACACACTGGTAGGTGGAGTCACCCGAAAGCAACTCTGGCTATTACTGGCCCCAACCGGATGCGAACAGGCCGTATGGGATATAATCGCCCTGTCGGCCCTGTCTGCCATGGAGGTTGGCAGATGCTGCCTGAGGGCAGCAGGCAGGAGGCAGGAACGAGCTGGGAGCCAAGGACCACAGAACCGGGAGCACGCGCAGCAGGTGCAGGTACCCGGCCCCAGACAGAGGCGGATAACGGACTTTTTTATCCAGGCCGACGGGGCGGGACCGCAGACGGGGCCTGCACTGAATGCGCCGGGGGATGAGGACGAAACGCAGGAGCGGAACACGGCGACAGGGGCGGTAGCAGCAACGGCAGGCGCGGCGGCAGCAGCACCCGCAGCAACCCCCTTGGAGCGGGCCTGCGCCCGGGCAGTGGTGGACTTCTGGGCGCGTCTGCGCTCCTTCACGGCGCTGGGCACCCCGCGGAGAGGCTGGGACAGGGTGGGACCCGACCACCCGATCCTGTCGGTTTCAGAAGGCGCACTGCGGTGCGCCGAAGCGGTGGAAATTATTGCCTAAGAGCGCTTTGAGCTTAGTTTGTAGGGCAGGGCTCGGGGGCCTATAGGAGTTCGAGGGGGATGGGGGTTGGAGGACAAGGGAATAGGTGAGAGGGAACCCCGAGACGGGAGAGGGAGAGGAGAAGGACGGGGAATGGAGGCGGTCACGTCGTGCAGGGAAGAACCCTTTTTCTTCCCTAGTGCCACTCCGAGGTTGTAGGGTGCTGGAGAGCCGGGGGGAGGTGGGGTCGCTCGGACAGGGGAGGGGGGAGATGGCGGTGAGAGCGCCAAAAGGACGTAGGTTTTCTG